AGAGTAGTTGGGTGGATGTGTCTACATTGAGAGGGACAATAACGCTGAGAGGTATGTGAAACGGAAGGAAGGAGGGGGAGGAGGAGAGAGGAGTTATATGTGTGGTAGGGTTTATATGTATGGTAGAGTTATATGTATGGTATGGTTATATGTATGGTAGTGTTATATGTTTGGTAGGTTATATGTATGGTAGAGTTATATGTGTATGGTATGGTTATATGTGTGGTAGGGTTATAAAAGCAAAAGATGTTCGTGTGAATAATCCATCAGTCATAAAATGACCTTTCTTACTACTCTCCCGGTTCTTACCTCGTTCAAATATTCACTTGTAAGTTCAACACCATTCTTTATCTGTTTTACAATCACGTTTCTAGACCCACTTCTAACTCTCTTTCCAGTTTTCTTGTCAAATTTCCACATTGGCCCATCTTTCCAATTAGCTAGAAACGTCCGGGCCGAACCACCGCTTGCTACATAGTTAATTATAGTCAACCGATCGAATGGTATCCATTCGATATACTGTGTGCAAGATTGTGCATTTATTTGAATGTCCTGTATAAATTTATCTACGAGCTCGCTTCCGCTTGTCCAGGTAGAAAAGGATAATTTGAAGGAGCGTCTTTCGCAGTCATTACACCATAGACTGGTTCTTTTGTAACCACATTTTGAGCAAGCCATGTTGTCAATGTCAAAGGCATCTTTGTTTTCGGAGCGGATAGATCTGCGTCGATAGTAATCTTCTAAATCTATTATGTCTTCTGATTGCCGGGTTGTGATTGATATGTTGTTGTCGTTGTTATTACTGTTGTTGATGTTACTGTTGTTGATGTTCCTGTTGTTGATGTTCCTGTTGTTACTGTTGTTGATGTTACTGTTGTTACTGTTGTTGATGTTCCTGTTGTTACTGTTGTTGATGTTCCTGTTGTTACTGTTGTTGATGTTCCTGTTGTGACTGTTGTTGATGTTGTTGTTGGACATTATGGATGACGAATGATGAATGAAAGAAGAAGAAACAAAAAAGTTAAAGTACAAATAATATAGTTTATAGAAGAGATAGTTTTTGTTTTTCGGCAAAGAGATGAATCATCAGCCAGCAAAGTTCAGAGATGGGAGAAAAAATACACGTTTACGTTCAGAGGGGACTGTTCAAATATTGGATTCCGTGCATGCACTTACAGCATGTCGGATAAAGACATTGTGCATAGATTCCGAGAATATATTATCAATGGGCAATTCCATTACACACATAAACAAGTATAATTTATACGATTTACATAAATGTACATAAATAAACTAATTTAATCAATCAATCAAAAGATGAGAAAGTGTCAAAAAATATGAAACCTTAAATATCCGGTACTTGTATGAAATAATCGCC